GGCATGTGATAGCCTTTTTAACTAAGAAAGGAATGGCTCCACCTGTTCACCAGTAGCTGTTGGGACTCATACTTGCTGATTCGAGGTGGAGTAAAGGAGAGAGTGATTCAGAGCAGTGAGTCACTTCAGTGAACTTGCAGGATCATTAGTGGGAGGAGATAAAGTCTCTTGGGCAAGAAATCCCACCCTTGGCTCTGCCAGCATTTTCCCAGAACTACTGTTGTGTTGGTGTTCGTCTACCCACTCCCGACCCACCCCATGACACTGCCTTTCCATTACGTTACCTTTTATTAATAAAGTTTTATTGGGACAGAGTCATACCCATTTGTTTATGCTTTGTCTATAGCTCTTTTGTACTACCTGGTAGAGTTGAGCAGTTACGACAAAGATCTACTCTATGCCCACAAAACCTAAAATATTTGCTACCTGGTCCTTTACAAGAAGAGTTTACTGACCACTGTTTTGAATGATAAATACTGTAGCCCATAGTTCCCAGGTTGAGGTGATCATGTGATATGGAGTGGTAAGGTTGAGAAAAGGGGCTCATGCATAAAGAGTTTGAATATCTCAGGTTCCCACTTATCTGTTGGGAGGCCTTGGGCAAGTTACTGAGGTATGAGATTGTTTATATAAAACCTTGTTGAAAAAACACTGCACGGGGCTGGGGTTGTGGCTCAGTGGTAGAGCGCTTGTCTAGCATGTGTGAGGCACTGGGTTCATTCTTCAGTACCACATAACAATCAATAAATAAAATAAAGGTATTGTGTCCATCTACAACTTAAAAAAAAATACAAACACTGCACAGCTCCCAGAGGATTCTGCATACAGCTTGTGAAAGTACTTTGTGGGCTTCAGAACAGGTGTGCAGCTTGTCTGGGTATGGTGCACACTATGGCTTCCTTCCTTTTTCAGGAGGAGGAGGCCAAGAAGCTGGTGAGCGAGGCCATTGCAGCCGGCATCTTCAATGACTTGGGGTCTGGAAGCAACATCGATCTGTGTGTCATCAGCAAGAGCAAGCTGGACTTTCTTCGCCCCTATTCAGTGCCCAACAAGAAGGGGACCAGGTGAGTGAAAGAGAAGATATTCTTCCTATGCCTCTGGCTTCATGGACCTCTTGTTATCTCCATGGTATCTGGACCAGGTTTCTTTCCCATGTTGAGAAAAGCTGTTCCAACCAGCCTTCCATGGGTCTGTGAGTCTGCTTTATGACAATGAGCTACTGCCAGATGTGGGACAGTGACTAAATCCATAAAGTGTTGGTGCGAGAGGTGGAATGGGCTCAGGAGAGAGCTCTTGGCTGCAAGTTGGGATGGAGAGGTTTCAGTCATCGTTGTCCTTTCTTGAGTGTCTTAAAGAATCCTCTGAACTCTGCATGGAGTTCTGTGAGGTGTGTTTTCCAGGGCGCTTGGCTCACAGCTTTTTACTTAGACTGCTCCAAGATGCCTAAAAGCCTCTAAACCAGTAGCTGGGAGCTCTGAATGTTGGCCGTGGGAGTTAATGGTGTTTACTACGCCAGAGGGGAGTCGTGCCACTGAGTTGGTGGCACATGCCACGCAGGTGCCTCATCTTGGTGGTGTGGGCCAGGCTCAGAGTAGTGAGTGAGGTTCTAGTAGATTTGCTGAACAGATCTGGCTGGTGTGTGTGCAGATGAGCAGCTTATTGGCCCTTCCTTGTGGGTCCAGCTGCTTGACCACCCTGTGGCTTCTAATCTCTTTCTGGAGCTGGGAAGCCAGAATGTGGCTCTTGGGCTCATTCCCGAGTGAGGCACAGCTGCACCTGTGACCTCTGCCACCTCTGGAATGCTTATGTTCAACTCCGCTGTGGATATTCACCTCCAAGATTCACTCACAAGGAAAGAACAGCCTTCAGAGCCAGCAGTGTGCACTCAACTCAGAGTTCAGTGTGAATTAGGGTAGACGCCCAGCTGCAGAGAGCCCTCTGCAGGTGCTGGGGAATGCTGTGGCCGACTGGTTGTGGTGGCTTTGGGCATCATTCGACCTCCATTTGAAGTGGTGGAGCTAGACAGGGGATCACAAGGAGCCCACGAAATTCCCTGGGCCTTGAGCAGGAAGGAAGGCCACCCTTCAGGTACACAGTTGTGCTGGGAGCAGGCCTCACCCAGCTCCCTAAAGATGAGAATTGATAGTGTGGCTGGAGCCGGTTCATGGGGAGGAGGTGGGGGATGGGCAGAGAGGGGCTCCATCCATTCTAGACTGGAGAGTGTCCTGGGAGAGGATTCTGACAGCCACATTTGAGCCGCAGTATTTGTGAGCTGGGGGTGTAGCTCGGTTGTGGAGCATTTGCCTATCATGCGGGAGGCCCTGATTCCATCCCCAGCACTGCCAAAGAAAAAAGAGAAGAGGAGGAGAAAAGTAGTATTCTTGGTTGCCAAGGGAATCTGTGCTTAGCACAAGAATCTTTGTGCATAAGGGAGCGCAGCAGAGGCCTGTTTACCTGTAAAGGAGACTGAACACAGGGAGCAAAATCAAAGTGGCTAGGAGTGCTGGCTGGAAGACTAACCAGGTGATGTGCCAGTATTGGGCACAGGATAGGTGTGCCCCTACCCTCAACAGGCCAGTGCCCTGCCAGTGCCCTGGGGCAGAGAGCATTGCATTCACAATATCTACAACCTCACTGTCATCTTCTTGTCTGGTCATTGATGGTGGGGCACTACCCAGGTGAGGGGATTTTCATAGTGGACAGCAGGTCAGGGCAGAGCTAGAGTCCTGGACAGGGTCCTGTGTCCAATGCCAGTGTAGACCTGGCCTCAAAGATTCCTGATGCCCTGTGGTGCAATCTACTGTTGCCCAAGGCAGAGGCCCTCATTGCACACTGCCAAAGCAGGCACCCAGGCTTGGGTGCAGGGGAAGAAGCTTTTGGGTTTCCCAAAGACATTGGGGTGTGGTACACATGAGTCAGGCACATAGGGGCTACTGGGACTCTGGCTCCAAAGCACGAGGCTGCCAAGGGCCAGCTTGGTGGGAGTTGAATGACATCTTCAAACTTATAGAAGGAGGAACACATTATGAAGAGGTACAGCTACTCACATCCTTGATAAAGAACACAGTGGGGACAGGAAGGTTTCGCAGAAATAAAGGGAAGCCCTTCTTTCTGCTCCAGCTCCTGAATTTAATACACAACTGTCAGATGTCCACTTTTTCTGCTTTCTGCTCCCTTGAGCCAAAGTACCTGTTTGAGAGGCAGACTGTTCCAGGAGCACATGGTAATGGCCCAGCCAGCAGCCTTCCAGTAGTCCATGCCAGCAGTACTGCCCCAGCTAGGAACATCCCAGAGGACCAGTTGGGTTGGTGCTGCTGTTTGACACTGTCCTAACTGCCAGCCTCAGTGTGGAAGTCCACAGTTAACATGTGGCTTACAGGCTGCCCTATGCTCAGAGAGGCCCCTGTGGGTGCACTGCCAGGATGGCAGTATTGGTGGGTGCCTCCTAGTGTGACCCCCCCCCCCCATGTACCTGCAGAGGCCAGTTAACTTTGCCTGAGTCTTGAGTGTGGGTTCTAAAATGATGAGCTCCGAGTCTGGCTGAGGACTATTTTTGTGCCATTGCGGTTTCAGGATAGTTTTAAAGAGTAGCAAGCAGGTGATAGTTAAGTAAGTTGCTCTTGTTGCTGGCAAGAGAAGGGCCATCTTGGCTTGATGAGAGGCTTCACTTCTGAGGGTTACTGACAGGTACTTTGGGGGAGGTTGGAGCCTGCGGTCACATAATCAAATGTTTTCTTGTATGTATGTATGGGGGGATAAGGTGATGGGGAAGGGAAGGTACGCACCCCCAGTGTCCTGGGTGCTCTTTTTTGACCTAATGTGTCTACCAGGCACTCCCATTCTGGAGCACTAGAAAGCTGAGGGCAGGACTCAGGGCAGCCACTTTCTGCTCTCTTCAGCCTTCTGTCTGGCACCTGGAGAATCCCAACTTTGTGTTTTTGTTTTTTCTCACTAGGTTTGGCCGGTACAGATGTGAGAAAGGGACCACTGCGGTCCTCACTGAGAAAGTCACTACCCTGGAGATTGAGCTACTGGAGGAAACTGTCCAAACAATGGACACTTCCTGAATGGTGCTAGTGGGTGGCTGGGTATCACTCTGGAAATCGGGGGCACTGGAAACACCCCTGTGACACCTTCATTTGGTTCCTGTTTGCTGAATGAAGTGCAATAAAAAAAAAAAAAATGAAAACCACAATGGGCAGCTGAGACCTGGGGACTCTGTGGTCATGGGGCCTATCAACCTTTCAGGCTCTTGATCCCTAAGTACCAATCTGGGTTCAGGTAAGTGTCATCGGTGAGGGCCTTCTGAAAATAGCAGGCCTCCTCTGGCTGGAAGCCAGACGTGGTTACTTGGATTCTTCACGTGAACATTGCTAACTTACTCCTTGTGTTAACTTCCTCTTTGCTCAGGGCAGCCCCAGGGTATTTGGTTGTTCTAACAGGGTGATGAGTGCAGGGCAGCCACTGCCTAATAACTGAGTAGGAAAGCAGTGTTGGGATGATGAGAGAGTGGGTTGTGGCATGGCTCCGGGGCAGGGCACCTGCCTGGCATGTGCAAGGCCCCAGGTTCCATCCCCAGCTCCGGGGCAGGGATGGGGGCGGGGGGCGTCTCCAAGTTTGAGTTCTCAGGCCCCACTCAGTTCTAAGCACCGAGTAACGGCAGGCAGGGGATAGTGGCTTTACCATAGCTTCGTCAAACTGGGTGAGCTGCACTCTGACCAATTTCATGGAATCACAGAGGAATGTTTACAGGCTTAGCTGGATGTGATCACTTCACAAACCTTCAGACTGCTTAGTGGTGGAGGGTTCTCACGGAGTAGGAAGTGGATGGCATGCAGAACACAAGCTCATTGGTGTGCCAAGGCTGCTATGCCAAGGGCAGACACAGCAGGGACTCTGAGAGCCATAAACAGAATATTTGCAAATAATCTGTCTGGAATCAGAAAACTTTCAGTGGTCAGTGCTAGGCAGGAGACAGGGACTTTGACTTTCCTTTGGAGAGAACATTCCAGGGTGAGCCCACTGTGAGGCCAGCTGCCTTGTGAAACTGCGGGGAGTGGGCCAGGGAGAACAATGGGACTATTGAGGGCAGCAGCTTGGCTGATGATTATCAGAATTATTTGGGGGAGCTTAAAAACATTCCAGGATTACTTGGAATGTCTGGAGCCTAACAAGTTGTTTCTAAAGGCTCTGCAAAATGTCGTGCTGCTGACGTGTTTCATTTAGGACCTCTCAGTTGAAGAAGAAATGTGTGGAAACTTAAAACTGTGCCTGACTCCTCCTCTTCCCAGAAGCAACTCCCTTCCCTCATTTTATTCCCAACATGGAGAACAGAGCAGAGACCGCATCTGGAGACAGTCTCAAGCCCAGCATTGTCACTCAGAGCTCTGCTCAGAGATGGAGCAGTGGCCAGCCCAGGTCCTTTCCCTGGGGAAGCCTGGTCAGCAAGTTCACCCATGGAGTCAGGTGAAGGTGAGGAAGAACCTGACCCAAATATCAGCACTGCTGAGCTGTCACCAGGTGACAACAGCGTAGACAGAGAGTTAACTTGAGTACAAAAACAAAATTCAAAGTATTTCCTCCAGAGCTTCAGTTTCCTTAAATTCACATTTATAAATTAGTCTTCACAGTTAATCCTGTTTGGGAACAAGAAATATGTGAACACGCTTCTGGTTTCCTACACATAATACAGTTGCACTTTAATTCTCAACTTGCATAGTCTGTGCACTTGAGTTTTCAAAATGGTGAATGGCTCTCGCTATCGGATCATCTGCAATATGCTAACTTGCCTCTTTTATTTCAAATTCTGTCAGCAAACCTGAAGGTAGATTAAATTATCCTTCCCATTTTACAGATGAGGAACTTAAGGCTCAGAAAAAGCTATGAAACTTGCCCAGGTAACACTAGGAAGTTGCAGAATCAGAATTTGGAAAGAACAGCTTTGGGCAGAGCCATTAGATTTTTCATGTAGCCCATGCTTCCTTCTCACAGAGGAAAATGCTTAACACTGATCATGCAAAGAACCATCAGCATCACAGGAGGTGACAGTGCCTGACACAGGGCAAGTGTTCAGGAGAAGGTGGCAAATCAGACCTCAAACCACACGTTCCTGGCCGTTTGCCTCGTGAAACTCGATGCTAGATGTTGGGTTCTCCTCCCTGTTACTCAAGTTATAAAATGCAGATAAAAATATTAGCAAAATCTCTACTCTACTTACAAAATTATTTCCACTTATCCCTTTATACAACAGAGTAAATTAAGCACACAGCTTGATTGTTTGGAAAGATACTTAAGAACTAAACTTCACTTGCTAGTCTTTGCAAAGGCTCACCACACAAATCACACCTGTCCTGTCCGTGGAGACCTGGCCAGGCCCCTGGAGGAATTGCCCAAAGATTCACATTACAGTCCAGATATGAGGGGGCTTCAGTGGCTCACTCTACTGCTCTTGTTAACCCAGCCGAGATTGCCCGCAACAGTACAAAGAAGGGACTTTGGAATTTGCCCATTGCCCGGTGCTCTGTGTTCAGTGTCTGCCTTAAAGGCTGCCTTTGGGGGACCTGATGGACCCTCTCGTGTCAGCTGATCCAGGCTACCAGGTGGTCACTTCAGAGAAGAGTACTCAAGTAAGGCAGAGTGGTGTTGGCTTTTGACAAGGTGGTGCAGACGTGTTCAGGTGCTGGACATCCAGATGTGCATCTGTTTGGCAGCCTGGTGCACATACCCGATGTCTGGTCGCTGGTCAGGGTCAGGATAGATACACATGCTGACCAGTTCTCGAAGCTGTGAGGGAGAGAATTTTTCCTGTTAATCTTGAGAAAGCAGCCTTATTGGCACTTCTGTGTCCTGTGCACACCTTTGGGCAAATCTGTTCGCGTGTGTGCGCATGTGTGTCTGCTGTCAGTCATGCAGAGGCCCAAACCAGAGGATGAAACTCAAGGAAAGGGCTTATTGATCATAATAAATGCATTAACATGCAGCAGGGCTGCAGTCTGCCCACCCCCTGGCCTCTTCATTGTGCTCATGAAAGACGGCGCTTTTAATTATACAGACACTGAAGGCTTTGCCCGCCTGGGGTGGGGGAGGGGTGCCTTAAGCCTCTGATCACCTCACATTTTGATAGCCTGAGTGCCAATTATTTTAATGGTAATTAAAATAATGACCTTAAAAAGCCTGCGTCTTAACTTGCATCTCTTAACTTGCATGGCTGGGCTCACTGCTATGTTTTTCATTTAAATATGTGCTGCTGGAGGGGCTGGCTGCCTGCCCTGCGGGGTCCTGAGCAGCAGCCAGGAGAGTGGGGGTCCTGGATAAGAGGCAGCCCAAGTGGGTTCAGTGGCCACACTCTGGGGAGGGCCAGAGGAATGTTCCAGGAGACCCAGGGGCTGCAACACACTATCTTGGCTAAGGGGGTCTGGGCTTTTGCAGACGGGGGCTGCTCTGCAGTGGGCATGTCCTAACTGACCTGTGTGTAGACCATTAGGGCACGCCTTTGACCTCCGCAGGGGGATTCCACTGTTGAAGAAACACTGCCAAGCTCCCGAACGAATGAACAACACTGGGGTTCTGAGGTGGCCTGTGCACGAGACTACTTTCCCCTCACAGTACTTGGGAAGGGAACTGTGCTAGCCTCGGATGGGTTAAATCCCCAAGAAAGCCAAAGCCAGAGTCTGAAGTCTGTGTGATCACACAGTTGGCAATAAGTGCACATTTGGGATTTTTAGAAACAGAAAAGTAATCAAGTCATTTTCATTTGTAAGAGACAGTGTAACTTTAAAAACAGGCTATGCCAAGGGCTCTGGTGCTAAGCAGTAGTCCTGGATGTGCGTGTGGCCAAAGATGTCACAGGCAACCTCTGAAGGGGGTCCAGTGGATGGGGACAGAATGGCCAACGTGGGCAAGTGTGATCCAGGTGCTCATGTCAGCCTTGCAGCTGGGGTGGAGACGATGGTGCCTGTTGGATTGTCAATGAAAGGCAGAAAAATAGGGATTGGCGCCGAGTTGCCCGGCTCTGCTGTTCGCTTCTGAATGGTACAGAAGTCCAAGTTTAAAAAGAAAGGGAAAAGCCAGTGCGCCTGTAAGCTTGGTAAGGAAATGCCACTAGCTTTCTTCCCTGCCTGCTTGCACACCAGAGCATGAAGGTTCTCTCCAAGGAGCTTGTGAACGCTGCCAGCTGAAGGCGCTGCACAGCCCCCACCCCCTGCCTGGTGCAAGCTGGCAGGAGCAACCAGGCTTGGGATCTGGGGCAACTTGCTTGGAGCACCGCTGGCCTGCCCCAGACCCTGGCCCTGGCATACATGAGTGTGCCTTCCAAGGCCTCACCTACTGGACTCTGGCTGCTGAGGACTTGCCGTTGAGAAACACGATGGCACTCTAGCTAGGTGTGGGGTCATCTGGGTTCTGATCCTGCCTCACAACTTACAAACTATGTCATCTAGGATGAGTTCTTTAACCCATATGGGTATTGGTAAGGTGGGTGAGGGAGGATTCAACCCAGTAAGTCAACATGAAGCAGTGGCCTCTGGGCCTGAGAAGGCCTCACACCTACCAGCATTGACCTTGAACAGCAATGACTGATGCCAGGTACTGAGCATTTACTGAGTCAGACCCAGTGCTGTATCCAGTGACCGTGTTCTGTTTAGTGCTGGGATGGAACCCAGGGACTTTGTGCATGCCAGGCGTGCGTTGTCCCACTGAGCTACACCCGGCTATTGGTGGTGGAGGAACACCAGGTGCCCAGACATGCATGACCTTAATCCTTACAGTGATCTTGATCAAAGACCCTAGTTTTATCCCCATTTTACAGATAGGAAACTGAAACGCCAGGAAGGTAAGTGTTATACCCAGGGACAGTAAAGGGGGCCTGAGAACCCACGTCCACACCCTTAACCCCTGCTGTGCTGGGAAGCCGTCCTTAGTTTACCCATGAAAGACATGATTTTAGCCCTATCTACAAAATGATGACTGAGGAAGGTGATATTCACACAGCCAGTACTGTTGTGGCCCGAGCCCCTGTACCCAATGAAAAATGTGAAAATGAAAACCCGAGGCATGACTTAGGTCTGCTGTAATAAGCAGGAGACCAGTCAGTCCACCTGCTGTGGTTTCTTGTCACAGAAGCTAGTGACAACCAAGGATGGGTGAATGCAGGCGCTACCCTGCCACCTCCTGCCTCCTATCTGGTTCCCAGTGTCTGGTACCATGTGGCTCCTGGCCTTGGGACCTGGGACAGGTGGCCTCACATTCAGACGCCAAGTGGGAAGCCAAATAGTGTTGTGGTGGCTATACCAGCCAGCTCCTGTGGGCTCCTGCTGCTGCTGCGGGCAGGGTTGTGTGGCACTCTGGAAACCCCTTCAGTAAAGTTCACCTGGCCCTGGACCCTGCAGGCACCTCCCCAAGCTCTTCCCCTCACCCTGTGAGGTGCCCTGAGCTCAGCCCTGCGCTGAGCTTTGGAAATGTCCCTCCTGTGAGCTATATGGCCTTCTGGAGACCCACTGAGCCTGGCCACCTCACCTTCTCAGAGTAGTGCTCCCCCGGGAGTGGCGGGTAGTCACACTGCTCAATCTTCTGGCAGAGGGAGAAGAGATTCATTTTGTCTCCATAGAAGGGGCTCTGGAGAGCTGCCATCTGCAAGGGGAGGGGACAGTAGAGTAATTTCAGCCTCAACGACCAGAACTCTACGGAAAGGGGACCACCAAACTGAGGCAGGGGCTCTCTGGGCCTCACTGCAGAGACTGCCCGGCAGCACTTTGCCCTGGAACTGCTTGGACGTGGGACTGTATATAAACAAATGGGGACAAGGGTTCAGAGATGGGAGGGGGCAGCTGAATACTGAGGGGATGTCCCCCACCCCACTCAGGCCCCAGCTCCCAAGGATGACAGCAGGGAGAGGGTGCAGATGGGCTTGCCCCAGGGCCATGGGCCTGGGCGGGCAGGTTCTCCAGCCAGGTTCTCTGTCCTCTTCACCTGAAAGGAAACTGCTTGCCTGAGGCCCTGCAATGGGTGGTGGTGGTGGGAGGATGTGAAAGCTCAGGCTGTGCTGTGCTCCTCGCAGCCCTCTGCAGAACGTTCTTAGAAACCAGAAGCCCAAGTATCCCTGGGCCAGGGACCCTGTGCCTGGACCTGTGCCATGCTCACCTGTCTGGCTAACTTTCCTCTGTGAGGTGGAAAGTGGCCCTGGCCTGCAGGGCTGTGGTGAGGTGTAACCAGCTGAACTGTGTCACCCTCTGTGGAGACTGATGGTGTGAGCTCTACCTTGAAGGGAGGCCAGCAGCAAGGGCAGTGGGAGCAGACTGGATGGTGGCCCCAGCCAGTCCTCCTCCACTGAGGAAGCACTGGGCCTCCTCCACCTGTGGGGGGTGGGCACCCGGACTGCACTGTGCCACTCAGAACCAACGGGAGAGCCTTCAGCGAGGTGTGCGGAGCCATGGAGTGGCTCTGTGAGGTGGCGGCCAAGCAAGGCATCCCCTGGCCCCATCTGCTGATTAATCTATAATGGGATTCAAGTGCTTCTTGTCACTCCTGCTCACTATTACCTACGCAAATGACAGCCCAGTGCCTCCTGCTAATGAAGTGCTGTCAAGTAATTGTGCCAGACTCGCTGCCCTGCCCTGGCTCCCTTTGAGGACCCTGGTTGTGAAGGCCACTCTGCTCTGGTTTACTGGTTGAGGGGTCCCTGGCTCTGGTATTGGGATGCCTAAGGTATCTTCACTGCTCATGTCCCAGAGAGTGGGCCAGAGAGCCCTAGCTTAGGGCAGGGAGGAGGCCAGGGTAGCCCAGGGAATGCCTCCACCCTCTGTTCACCCCTGTGACCAGTATGGTTCCCAGAGCAGGGCCTGCCTTCTTCAGAAAAACCTACGAGGGCTTTGGAGCCCAGAGTCCCTGGGTTTGCAGATGGCCTGTGGGGAGGCAGCATTTTGAGGTTTCCTCAGGCCACGTATGGCAGTCTGCCCTGGAACAGCACCTGTGGCCCAGGCTCCTGAAGGACCAAATGTCTATATTCAGATGGGGGTACAGGGGCAGCATCCCCTCTCCTTCCACGCACTCATGGCTTCGGCCCCTCTGAGGAGGGCTGACCTCATGTGAACCATGAACCTACCCTGCAGGAAGGCTACAGAGGAACGTTCTGGCACTCAGCAAGGGAGAGGGAGTCTGCCCACCTGACCAGGAGCTGGCCTTGCCCTGGAGTCTGAAAATGGCGTGACTAGGGCGGCACATCTCCAAAAAACGAGAGCCTCAGTGCCAAGGGTTAATTGGGCAGTTTTGAAAGGACATCCGTTGCCACAGCAGAGAGCAGCTGTGACTTCAGGGTGGTCACTTGGAGTGACCCAAGTGCCCTCCCAGCCATGGCTAGAGGCTCCAGATGGCTTGTCACGGAGACTTTCTGCTCGGGGTAGACAGGGTGCTTTCACTAATGGCCCCACTAATGCTGGCCCTGGTTTTTTATGCATCTGACCTGAAGGGGACCTGGTCACCCTTTAAACAAATCTGATTCGGTTTTCACAAACCTGGCTGCTTGGGACTTCAACATGACCCCGGAAAATTTAAGGGGGCAGTGAGCCCTCCCCTCCAGATGACTTTTCCATTCTTCCTGGCCCTTTCCCACGGCCTTTCAGAAACCCTTCTGAACAGGGCCAGCAGTGGGCTATGCCAGGGGGCCATCTTGGCCTTCCCCAAACAGGGACGTCTCCATTTCTAACTGCAGATTCCAGCAGAAGCAGCATCCCCACCTGCCCCCTTTCCAGCTGCTGGCCACTGGCCTTCCACCCAGATCAGGGTGACAGGCTGTGAAGGAATCTTTGGGGCTGCTGGCGACACTGGGATTAGAACGATTATTCGGGACGGCGAGATCTCCCATACCGGCGGCCACCCAGCCTCTGCTGTCGGAGCCGAGGAGGGATTGCTGTTCAGGGTGACACTGGTTGCCTTGCTAGAACTGCCAGGGCCATGGCTCTCGGCACTGCTCCTCTGCTCCTCGCATGCAGAACTTCCCGGCATCATTGAGATGACACACAGCCAAGGAGCAGGGGGCTGGTGAGCACTTGCCCCCGCTGGGAGGGCTCAGAGAAACTGGTACATGATCAGAGATGTCAGAGGAGAAGTGGGGATCTGCCTTCAGCAGAACAGTGACTGCATCTGACTCCTGCCTATCGGGCCCCAGACACCCACCTCATCACCTCATCAGCCTCTCCCAGGCACGTCCAGGAGTGAAGGGTGACCCAGGGCGAACTAGCAGTCTAAGCCTTCATCCTTGAGGGAGGAGCATCCCGGCTCTTTGCTGCTCAAGTCAGAATCTTAGAACGGCGTCCCATGTGGGCACAGCTGGGCATCCCTCAGCCCACTTTCTTGCTTCTCTCTGTCCCAGATGGGGCCTGGAGTCTGTTTGAGGGGTTCCAGCGGGGGTGCCTGGCACTGAGCGCCAACGCCTTCAGCTCCGTGCTCAGATGTGGGCTTGTGTGGGAATACATGAATTCTGTAGAGCCCGGGGGACCCCTAAGTGAAGCACTGGGCCTGGTGTGGCCACACTCTGGCCTCTGCCCAGGCTCCGGGCTGAGGACGCCCCTGCAGCCAGCCTTTGATTCCCATGGTTTGCTCCTGTGCCCAGGGCAGTGTGGCCAGGCCATGGGGCATGACTCCTGAGGCCAATGCTGACCGCACTTGGCCCCAGCGTGTGCTTGGGGGCTCACCAGCTGGGGGCCAGCATTGCATCTGCGGTGACTCCAGGAGGTGCATGGTGGTAGGTGGATGCCCAGGTGTGAAAGGGGATGCGGTGGGCTTGATAATAGCCCCAAAGACATACACGACCTAGTTCCCGGAACAGCAAATGTCACTTTATGTGGCAAATGGGATTTTGCAAATGTGATTAAATTTAGGATCCTGAGGTGGGAAGGGACCTTGGACTGTCCGGGTGGGTCTCACTAATCACAGGTCCTAGTGATGACAGAG